AAGACTTGTTTAAAGCTTTTGAAATCATTGATAACGACAGTGATGTGAAATACTAATGACACTATAGTCTCACGCATTTTATTTCTGTTGTTTTCATTAATGTACATTTCATGTTAAGTGATTTAATGAATGTCAACTTCAACTTTTTGATTGCATGGTAGAATTTCTACAGCAGACATTATGGAACTGTTCTCAATAGAGTTTATACTACTACTAACAGCAATTGTTTTTTTCTTGTCATTTATGTTGTTGTTTCATGGCAGGACCTGGTTGATTGGTTGCATGCTTACTTTGCTTGATTACCGAGCTGAATCAGATTATCGTTCCAATCTGTGGGAGCTATAAGTTTTATGGTTACAATGTATTTCTTTGTTATTTTTATGTAATGGGAAGGGCCAGTTGTACGCTGACTGCAGAATGAATTGCAGTTCTTTAAAAGGGAATATTTGTTATTTATCTGTAATGGGAAGGGACAGTTCATCCGAGCTGCAGCAAAAATTTTTGTGTATTTCATTGATTTATGGTATAAGTTTTATGATTCCTTCAATCATGGTTGACATTTGTGGTGGGAAGGGACAGTTCATCCGACCTTCATCCGAAATGCATTGTCGAAGACCTTAAAGCTAATGTAGCCGTATTTCAATAAGTGGATATCTAATGTGGATAAAAATCGTTTATACTAATACATTTTGGTGTTGTATATGTAAAAATAAATTTTTTCTAAAGTTGTGTATATAAGATAAGTGGATCTGTAAAATGTTGTATATCCAAAATGCATTGTACATTTTTAATTCTATATCCAAAGTTTAGATACCCATCAAAGCAGATACATAATGGATAAACTGTTTCATTTTTTGTTTAGAAAACAACACAATAATGTTTCATTATTAAAACAGGGACCAGATACATCAAATTTAAAACAAGAGCTGGAGTAATTCATCAACCATGTGTTGATTCGGGTTGAACAATCATGTGTTGATTCCGGTTCTCATAGCCTTCCAAAAGGACCTGTAGTAGCTGTTCTAGCTCATGTGTTGATTCGGCTTCTCATAGCCATACGTTCCAGTAAATCTGCTGTTCTAGCTCGTGTGTTGGTTCGGGTCCTCATAGCCTACCTGTAGTAATTCATCAGACAAACTTTTATATCAAACAAACTTTTAAATGCAGGAATACTCCATGAAGGGAATACTCCATGAAATGCAGGAATATTTCATGAAGGACAAACTTTTCAATAAATAGCTGTATTTCAGTATTTTTTTTATCATATCCTTTAAAATCCAAAGCACATGTAAGATACAACTTACTTAGAAATTTAAAATATTACATGTATGACCGTTGAGGCATTGATTTCTCATTGAGGCATTCTGTCATCATTGCAATGTAAGATTCCATATTCCTTGGAGGAAATGAATTCTGCATGTGTGTTTCGATGTATTATTAAATCATGAAATCATCGTATTACAACATAAAAAATTCTGAAAATTTATACCTGTGTTAGAAAATTGGGTAATGAACATGCGGGTGGATGACATTGTGATGATTCGGGTTCTTCAGTTGTTGATACCATTTTTTGCTTGTCTAAATATATACATATCCAACATGGTAAATTATGATATGATATGACATGGAGTGGCACAACATATAAAAGGGTTGTAGTTGTTGAACCATACCTTTTGATCTTTTATTTTTCTCCCAATACCCTTTCAGTCTGGCATTAGATATTCCTTTAGGGCGCATTTTAGCTGGATCATTCATATTTGATTCATTATTGACTGGTGCTTTATTTTTCCTTTGTTGTCTTCCTGATTGAGTACCCTTACCAATCAAAATGTCATCAATGTCCAATGATAATTTTTTCATGGATTCCTTCATGCGCAGCTCAGCTTCCGAATTCCCCTTTGCTTTCCGGGTACATTGATATGCAACTTTCTGCATGTGTGCTTCGAATAATAGGTCGCCTTGAATATTATTTGAGGACTGTGACTGCTGCAGATGCATGTATCTGGAACTGTTATAAACATCCCTCTTTGCATTTTCTGACCATCTCAGTAGTAGATATTTATCTGGTATTTTCTTAATGTGTAA